TAATAGGGCTATAATAATAGGGCCTATTGCTATATACCGGGCACAATAACAGTAATACTTTGTCCGACCCGGGAATCGAACCCGAGACCCCATGGCAGTCGCACTTGCGACCACTCGGCCAACGAGGCAATCATAATTTAAAACCCTTGTTATTTTCTTTCGGAGGTCAATAAAACACGCGTCTTTTGCAAAATCATCTATCGCAAATAAAACATGTCTAATATTACACAGCAAAATACACAAAATCAATTATAAAATCAACATGACTCACATACGGAAAAAATACCCGACAAAAAATATCGTATCATCTAATTGTAACCCAAGCGAGCACTCATGATTATTTTATTTACCCGTATCAAAAATATTAACATATGAAATACAGTCTCGGAAATCAGGAAGGGCGTACACCCAAATTATTTATTACGTACCAGAAAAAGTTGACAAAGAAAAGGCAAATTACATCCTTGATTTCCATAACAAGCATGGAGCCAACCTATTTGCTTATCACAATTTGGATCTCTCTTTTCCACACACAAAAACAGATGTGTGTGAAAAGGACGACATGATTCCATGGTAGAAACTTTTGCGATTTGCAAAAAATTTGATTAAGTTTGTGATTTTTTTTATAATTCTTAGTGAAATGAACAAGGTATTTCTCATTGTGTTGAAACAAGGGTAGAAAGAAGAAGAATTATCTCTAGAATTACTATATACAAAAGTTAATAAAATAAGTTTGAAAAAAACCGACCTTTTTTGGTACAACATGATACGCCTTTCTATCCCCGAAAGTGTAGACAGTGGTATACATTACGGCACTTCATACCACTGCACAATGTAACACCCATTTTTAACTATTTATGTTACGACTCCCATGTAATCGGGGGTAGGTGGTGGGTGGCTACTGTCATATATGGTATATGGCAATAGGCTCACCCTCTATTACATGGGACTCATAACATAAATAGCGAAAAGTGGGTGTTACTTCTATGTGCACCTCTGCCTACCTTTGCCCCCTTCGGGGATAAAAAGCGTGATGTTATGTTATCTATACTAATATTATAAAGAGGAAAGATTTGTACCTATTTTTGTATGTTTGTAATGAATAGGCTCAAAAAGTACTGGGCCGATTTAAAAAATTCTTTCACCAATAGAATGCTACATTCTTCCAATTTCACATAGGTTACATTCCATTTTGAAATGTGTATTATAATAATGTGCAGAGAGCACGACGTTTACACACACCAGAGTACGACAGGTAGACAAAGTCATTCTTGACAAGTGTCCTACCTTATATACATTATAGTGAGGGTGGCCACTACTTGCTAAGATAAAAGTAACACAGGTCAAATTGTAAATCTCCTTCTTTGACATCGGATAAGGCTTTGACTACCAATGGAAAACTGTTGAAGGCAAATCGTCCGCTCATCGGTGACCCCCATGGCGTTTAATGTGTTAATAAATGTGCTCAATTTTATTTTTACCTGCCTGGTTAGACATTGCAGTCACGGTAATAATATCGTAAAGTATTCCAACTTTATACAAATGGACGAATCACGAGCTATATGTTCGCGTACGCGCTTCGATGTCGCGATGCTAAGGGGGCCAGACAGTCACGGCCAATATACAAATGTAGAGTAACCTAAGGAGTTTCTTGCTCGTTCTTCTCCATAGGAATCTTCACCTTGGAATGAGCAAATAGCTTCACTTTAATTTTTTGTTGACTTTCAAAAGTGCCTTTCTGGTCTAATTGAAATAAATGATTTTGACTTTGACTTTGACTTTGAAAGCTCTGTGGCTGTACCGCAGTAACGAACGAACGGTGTATTATTCTTCTAATAATAACGGCGCGATTATTCTCTTAAAATCAATTCCAGTACATATTTAATATGACGAGTAGGAGGTATTGTACCGTTTCTCTTATATTTTTTTATTGCAAATATTATTCGGACGCAAATTTATAAGCCCGATTTGTTTTTCAAACAAAAGCATGTTTTTTAAAATGAAATCTATCAATCAAAAAACAACACGCATTTTATTGTATACAAAGTATTATTTATATAAAAACCATATTTACAATCACAAAACTAAGTTATAAACAGAAAGTAGGCAAATGTAATTAAAATGCTGGAGACGGGCAGCCCTAAGGCAAGTTTACGCATCGCTCTGTCCTGCGGCCGAGTTACAATAGGTACTGTATGGTAATATTACCGTGTCGCAGTTTAAATAGTTCAATTAAAGATGAAGATCTTAGTCTGGACTAAGATCTTCAGAAGAGATTACTGGTAATGGACAGTCACAAGCAAAAATATCATAATCTATACAGAAAAATAAAATTGGAGTGTCTGTTTGTAATATTAAAATAACCGGTTTTTATTATATGCATATGACTATACATACGATAGACATACCAACACAGAACACATAACCTTCTTTATATGTTCTGTGCATACCAATATAACATTTTTTACAATTGTTGGGTGTCTGTTTGCAGTACAAACTGGAATGGCAGGACCGATTTAGCAAGACTTTTATTGGCTGGTAGCTGGTGTACTAAGGAATAACATAGCCTGCCAGCCTAATATATTTTGGAAAATTGAAAAAAAGTTATGTTCTATAAAAACTGCGTTTAAAAAACCGACTTCAAAAAACCAAAAATTAATAACAAGTCAAAACTAAAAAAAAAGAAATAAATAACTATCATTAGTACTGATAGGTTACCCACCCACTGAGGTTATACTTCCTCCCTTTTTTGAAATCAATAAAAATTAATATCCTACGCGGATAAAGCCGCGGGCAACAGCTAGCAGATAAGATTAAAAGACAATCAAGATTACTAATACCAAAGCGTTCTTACAAAAACATGCAGTTTAGTATTAAGTATTGTATTGTATATATCTTAATCTTATTATACTTTTTCAAATAAAATATGACAGTAATCACGTTGTTTCATATATTTTTAGATAAGTCCTTTTCCCGGATCATTCGATTGTGAATATTGTTACAAAATAAAATGGATGTTTCAATGAAATCTGAAGGGGTATTCTACCTTTCATATTGAATCCACTATTTGCGGCTATCGAGGGCAATATTAATAAAATCCTGTTCTCTTTTACTATTTTTGTTTTATTTTATTTTCGCTGTTAACATTCCGGTGCGTCGCCATTTTTATTTGTGTGTAACTTTCGAAGTATTGTGATTGATTCTCTAGTAGGTTTTTTTTTAAATTAGAAAACTTGTATTCAATTATGAGTTGTTTTGTGGATTTTATTTCCATATGGTCATGTTTAACCTAAAATATAACTGGCAGAGATGAACATTATTGTCATTACAAGAATTTGAAAATAAATATGCTTTAAAAACAATTCAAAGCATGCTAGAGGCTCATATTCATGAGCAGCATTTCGCGACCTGCGACGCGGCGACTGTCGCGCTGCTGCTGGCTACTCGAGTCTGCGGGTCCAGCGCGCCCTCTGACGCGATTCACGTGCACTTTCCTGTATTTGTGGTATCGACGACGGCGGCGCGAAATGGTGCTCATGAATATGAGCCTCTAGCATGGCTTGAAACTAGTCGAGTTCCTTGTCAAATAGTTACGTGAGTAAGCCGAAAACATAATAATTTATTTAGTATGTCTCACGAAAGTTATAATACAAATTTGTAGCAACCTTTTTTCGCAAATTAAAGAAAACAGTTCAACAAAGGGTATAATCAGTACCCTTCCATTATTTTTATGTGAGAATAATTTTGCACATTCACTGGAGAGTTAAAGTAGAAACAAGGCCGTTAACAAAATTAGTACATTTCAGAGTACTCCTCTTTACGGTCGAATAAAAACAAAGTCATATAAAATAAACTTCACAATTCCCGGCCTGTGATCATTTCATCACTTTTACGCTTGAAATAAAACAGTTAAATACGAGGAAAAGAGACACAACCACGAAAAGTATAGACAAAAGCGTAGATGACTAATTTTCATTTTAATATCCGTCTGGTAGATTATTTAAAAACATTAGACACGTATTTTTTTATTTTCTTACTGAAACGAAACGAATAATTTCGAAGATATGTTGATTTGAAATATTGCAAGACGTCACTTTTGAGTACGGACTCTAAACTGACGTAGCTACATCCAACTTCTAAAGTTTGATTCGTTTTATCTAAGTATTGTTTTCTTAGACAAAATAAAAAAATACGTGTCTAATATTTTTTCATTACCGAGCTATTGGACTAATTCGATTTTTAATTTTCATACCCTGTCGTCATTCCTACTATAATTAAAACTTTTAAGTGAGGACTTTCATTTTCGGAAAGATATAAAGAGAAGAAATAAACATTTTGTTCACTCGGTGTTTCATTATTTATTTAAGGCCAATTAACCCCACCTTGCAAGGGAACCCCCCTCCCCAATCTCCCCAATGAATCTCCAACATAACATAACATAACATCACGCCTTTTATCCCCGAAGAGGTAGGCAGAGGTGCACATTATGCCACTACAATGTAACACCCACTTTTCACAATTTATGTTATGAGTCCCATGTAATAGGGGGTGAGCCTATTGCCATATACCGGGCACATTTCCAGACTCCGTGCTACTACTGAGATTTTTTTAAAAACCCAGTAATAATCAATCTCCAATAATCCTCAAATTCTAAATCAAAGGCCGGTAACGCACTTGTAACAGTCAAACTTTTGTATTACCAAGACAGAACCATTTTACTTCGTGATAAAAACAAAATAATAAAATAAATATAATACGCAGATCGCTTACCGTCTGTCGGTGATCAGGCCGCTTGTTTGCCATTCCATAAAAATGTCGCGGAGAACCTAATAACGGGTAACCGGGGCTCCGGCTCGACGTGCAGGAGAAGGAACGGGGTGGTTTTTAGTCAGTAAGAGTCTGACATTCCCTTCCGCCTCACCCAGGCGGGAGCAGTCATTCGATGATTATCCCCCCTTAAAAAAAACCATAAAAATAACGAAATAAATTTTACGGTGTAGAAGACTTGCTTGAAGAACGCAAACGTCATACTCCTAATCAATCTAAGAATAAACAAGGCAGCTGTACCAGAACTAATATAGCTACAACACTAAACTTCTTTCCATTCCGTTCAGTTTAAAAAGTTATACAAGTACCGGTGGCTGGGCTCGACATTCTCAACTTGGAGCTAGTTCCCTATAGTCTGAGCTAAGATAAATGATATTGACTCCAAGTTCGGCGCCCCAGGACTTTATTAAACTAGTTTCAAAGAGAAAAATTACTCGTTTTGTTTAAACTGAACTCAATGCTGTTAATTTGTTGATAAAGTTGAGTTGTGTCGCTGAAACAGTGGAGGTAGGTAGGGTTAACGAATGGCTCTCCGGTGCTTTTTTTTTCGTTTTTTTTATATATATTTGCAGAGGGAAACTAATCGATGTTAAGACAACTACGTACGTAGACAACGACGTACAACGGACGCACGCTACGGCTCGATGAACATTTGGCGCAGCTCGAGGTGGAGCTGGGAAATGTGAGGTGGCATGTTCTGGGGTTATGTGAGGTCCGAAGACAGGGGGAGGATACCGTAACCTTGGAATCCGGCCATCTCTTGTATTTCAGAGAGGGAGACCAACCATCACAGGGTGGCGTCGGGTTTTTGGTCCACAGGTCTCTCGCAGACAGCGTTGTAGAGGTCTCCAGTGTGTCGGCAAGGGTAGCGTACGTTGTGATCAAACTCACCAAGAGGTATAGCCTAAAGGTCGTCCAAGTATACGCGCCTACCTCGACATACTCGGATGATGAGGTAGAGGAAATGTATGAAGACATTACCAGAGCCTTGCACACCACCCAAAAGGCCCACTTCAACGTTGTCATGGGAGACTTCAATGCCAAAGTGGGAGTACATAATAGCGGCGAATCGGTAGTAGGACCACACGGATTTGGAAGCAGGAACCATAGGGGGCAAATGCTTGTCAACTTCCTAGAGAAGGAGGGACTGTTCTTGATGAACTCCTTCTTTAAGAAGCAGCCTCAAAGGAAGTGGACGTGGCGAAGCCCCGATGCTATGACGAAAAATGAGATAGACTTCATTATGACGGACAAGAGACGAATATTCAGAGATGTCTCAGTAATCACAAGGTTTAATACCGGAAGTGATCACCGACTGGTACGAGGCACTCTAAATATCAAATACAAACTCGAGCGTGTCCGTCTCATGAGGTCTACGCTGCGACCGAACTTGCTCCAAACCGTAGCTGGATCTGAAGCATTCCAATTAAAGCTGGAGAACCGGTTTGCTGCTTTGGAAACCACAAATGACGTTGATATTGACCAGAAACTTGAGGAAATGGTCGGGATCCTCCGGGATGAAGGAACAAAATTGTGCCGGACGCAGAATACCGGACGGAGGGCCAAGCTTTCGGGAGAGTCTCTGCAGCTAATGGAGAGACGACGGGAAAACCAAACAGTCGCTTCGTCAGATCTTAACAAAAAGATTTCAAAACTGGTGAAACGCGACCTCCGATGCGCCAATACACGCGCAATAAAAGAAGCAATCGAGCAAAATCGGGGGTCTAAAGTCTTCATCCAGCAATTGGGTCGAAGTCATCTGACGAAGCTGACCACATCAAGTGGGAAAGTCGTATCTTCTAGGCCGGAGATTCTCGCGGAGGTTCGGCACTTCTACGGTGAGTTGTACGCGTCAAAAGCACCTCGTCCTCATTCAGATTCGGGGGATCCCAGAGCCACACTTGTCCGCCACTTCACCGAAGACTTGCCAGAAATCAGCCTAGGTGAGATCGCGGTGGCTTTGGGGCAACTTAAAAATGGAAAAGCCCCCGGAGAAGATGGAATCACGACGGAGCTCCTTAAGGCAAGTGGAAAACCGGTGCTCGAGCGACTCCGACGTATGTTTGATTCCGTTCTCTTCTCGGGGAGAACTCCAAGGGCATGGAGCAGGAGTGTTGTCGTTATGTTCTTTAAGAAAGGAGACAAAACCCTCTTGAAGAACTATCGACCTATTTCCCTTCTGAGCCATGTCTACAAGCTGTTTTCCAGAGTCATCACTAACCGTCTCGCCCGAAGACTCGACGAGTTTCAGCCCCCTGAGCAGGCTGGGTTCCGAGGAGGATACGGCACCATAGACCACATACATACAATGAGGCAGATTATACAGAAGACTGAAGAGTATAATCTGCCCCTATGCCTAGCCTTTGTGGATTACGAGAAAGCCTTTGACTCTATTGAAACCTGGTCTGTTCTGGAGTCCTTGCAACGGTGCCAAGTCGATTGGCGATATGTCCAAGTGCTGAGAGATCTATACGATGCTGCAACTATGGTCGTCCAAGTACAGAACCAGCAGTCTGAACCTGTCCACCTGCATCGGGGGGTAAGACAAGGCGATGTCATTTCTCCCAAATTATTTACCAATGCTTTGGAGGATATGTTCAAGACGCTGCACTGGAACGGACGGGGCATAAATATAAACGGCAAGTATCTCTCACACTTGAGATTTGCAGATGACATCGTCATCGTGGCTGAAACCGTGCAAGACCTACAATATATGCTGAACAGCCTGGCTGATTCTTCTGCTCGCATTGGACTCCGGATGAACCTAGACAAAACGAAGGTCATGTTCAATGAACATGTTCTTCCGGAGCCGATCACCCTGAATGGGTCTACTCTCGAGGTTGTTCAGGAGTATGTCTACCTAGGACAAACCCTACAGTTTGGTAGAAACAACTTCGAGAGGGAGGCTCGTAGAAGGATACAGCTTGGCTGGGCGGCATATAGGAAACTCTATCGGGTCTTTTCGTCAACTCTACCGCAAAGCCTGAAGACGAAAGTCTTCAACGAGTGCGTCCTACCAGTCATGACATACGGAGCCGAGACGTGGACACTAACAGTGCGACTGGTCCACCAATTTAAGGTAGCGCAGCGAGCTATGGAGAGGGCTATGCTCGGAGTATCTCTGAAGGATAGGATCCGTAACGAGGTGATCCGACAGAGAACTAAAGTTACCGATGTAGCCCAAAGGATTAGCAAGCTGAAATGGCAGTGGGCCGGTCACATTTGTCGAAGAACCGATGACCGCTGGGGTAGACGTGTTCTGGAGTGGAGACCGCGTCTAGGCAAACGTAGTGTAGGGCGCCCTCCAGCTAGGTGGAGTGACGATATACGTAAAGTGGCTGGTAGTGGTTGGATGCGTAGAGCTGAAGACCGAGCTCAGTGGCGTGCCATTGGAGAGGCTTATGTCCAGCAGTGGACGAAAACAGGCTGATGATGATGATGTTAAGACAACTTACGTGTCTTTTACACGAGACAAAGAATGAATGCTTGTGTATACGTTCTAATAATTTACTTATTGGAGTATTTCAGATCTATCATGCTACTTCTGAATAGTACCTATTTCAAATTAGATAATCTTACCAGGCTAGGTAGTGGCCAAACGTCGCCCCATCAAATATAAAAAAGCAGAAAAAAAATATTAAGTACTTTTTAGTGATTATCATTGCCAAACTTAAACGGCGCATAATTTACAGTAGAGACCTTCACCGAACAACTAACCAACAACCCATTTTTTTATATTTTTAATTACCTATTGACTAATATTATCCATGAATCAGATTGATGAAGGTTCATGTTATATATGTGATGTCTATAAAGAAATCGCCCGTAGGCTGATCGACTCTACACGTGACCAGAAGCCTGGTTATTTCTTCGGACAGAAAATAAGTATTGCCATTCAACGTGGCAGTGCTGCCAGTCTTTTACATTCCTTGGTGACAGTGATGCGGACAAGTAATTTGACGCCCAATTAAGGGTAATTTTATTTAATTTTAAGTTTTAAATACTTATGTCATTTAACAATGTACTATGAAGCTTAAATAAATATCAGATCTTAGATTACCAGTATTATGCAGGACCAACTTTCGTTACGCAGCCATGCCTGCAACCACAAAATCAACACAGCATTGTTTTTAATGTTCCATAATAAAAATAAACTTCCTCTCCCCGTATTTTTTTATATCTTCACCCCTACTTATCATAAAACAAACATAAAAAGCCGCCATTTCGTCACTTCATTAACACCTCGGTGTGAATAAATTTGCCACGTTCAGGTACATAAATTGTTTTTAGGAAGACATAAATTACAAGACAAGAGTCCCCAGTTGTGAGCCTCCTTGTTTCAATTCCTTACGAATTCATTTCTTTATAATTTTTCTCTAATGCAGTGGTTCTATTGGTACATTCAACTACATATTTCTATCTGGTTGCAAAAGAGAACTTCAAATGACTGCTGGAAATATTATTTGACAATAAACTTTAATCGTTTCAACGGCTGACTATCTGCAGTACGTATATAAATCAACCTGGCCAATTTAGTCATCAATGTTTTCTGAATCGAAATAATTAATCAAATCTAACAACCTACTTTAAAAGTCGTAATTTAATACCTTTGCTCCATAATGCGGAAAATTTTGCAGAAATAAGTATCAAATAAATAAATAATGAATTCAGGAAAGTGATTTTAAAATCCTCGTTAAAAATCGTTCACAAATGGAATTAGTTCCGGTGCAGGAACTTCCGTCCGAGGCGGACTTTTTAAAAGATTTTCAAAGGAAAAGACCTTCCTTTCGATGTAATTCTGCTGAGCTAGCAAATTGCTTTGCAATTTCTATTTTGAACAACATAACATTACGGTAGTTAACCACACGGATAGTCAGCGAGAGGTAGGTATATTGTTGTGTGCATAGTCTGTATGTATGTATGGTACAATTGTTTCCAGTTCTTATGGTTGAGTTGTAGGTCAATTTTCTTGTCTATATAGACACTAAACAAACTAATTGATGTTAAATTGTTCATTCATTTGTCTAGCGTCAAAGACACGATCAACTTATTAATTGGAATATTTCACATCTATCATGCTACTTCTGTAATAATATTTCAAACCAAAAGTCGAAAAAATCATATACAGTGTGTTGAGTAAGCAGATAAAAAACTATTATGAAACTAATAAATAAACAGAAAAAAGAACTTCAACAAAGAAAACTGTGAAACGAGTAACGAAGACAAAGCTTATATTAAACAACAACAGGGTGTT